GGGATTCCACACCCAGAGATTGTGCAGCCCCTGTCGAGCGGTGCCAGATGTATGCGTGGAGTGCTCTGTTTGTGCTTTCCCTGTCCAGGCTCGCCCACAGTTTGTTAGAGGGGGCCGTGTGCCATTCTCGAATCCTCTGGAGCACTGTTGCTTGGAAGTACTTCCGAAAGTCCGGTAAAGCCAGGCCGCCCCATGATTTGGGCAGGCATAATCTGTCGTGTTTGAGCCTCGGCCTCCCCTCCCTCCAGACATATTTCGTTACCGCTGATTTTAGCTTGGTAAAAAAGTCCTGGGGTAGGTGCCAAGGGATGGTGCTAAAGCAATAGAGAAGGCGGGGGAGAATGTTCATTTTGACCACCGCTATGCGGCCCTGCCATGAGATGTGGTTGTACGAATACCTCTTCAGGTCTTTCAGTATGTTGCGAAGGAGGGATGTGTAATTCCTGTTGTATGTCTCGCCCGGGTTGCGGGAGAGCCATATACCCAGGTAGCGCATCTGTTCCATGCACCAGTGGAAAGGGTAATTGCGTTGGAGCCTCTCCTGTGTGTTCCTTGTGGTGCGTATTGCCAGTATTTCACATTTTGCTTGGTTTAGCTTAAGTCCTGATATCCGTCCATATCGCTTGAACTCATGCAGGAGGGCTAGCAATGTGGTCCAAGGCTCTGCGACGAAAAAGAGCATGTCGTCCGCATATGCGGCCGCCTTATGTATCTGGTCTTTCTGTTTAAATCCCTGTATCTCTGGTGTCCGTCTAATCTTGTCCAGGAACGGCTCCAATGTGAGGGCGAAAAGGAGGGGGGACATCGGGCAGCCCTGTCTAGTACCATTGTTGATTTCAAAGTTGTCTGTAAGCGCTCCATTTACCCGTACTCTGGCAGTTGGGTCGGTGTAGAGTGCCGTTATCCAGGTGAGTATGCCGTTCCCCAGAACCATTGCCGTCAGCGTTGCCGTCATGAAGTTCCACTTCACCCGATCAACCGCTTTTTATGCGTCTGTGGAGAGTATAAGGAAGTCCGAGTTTCCTTTACGAACCAAGTTTTGTATAGTGAACGCCCGCAGAGTGCTGTCCCTGGCCTCTCTCCCCGGGGTAAAACCGTCTGGTCCGGATGGACTAGCCTCGGTAGGAATTGTTGCAGTCTGGTAGCTAGCACTTTGGAGAGGATCTTCACATTCACGTTTAATAGTGAGATGGGACAGTAGTTGCCACAGACTTCCGGGTTTTTGCAGGGTTTGAGGATAACTGTGATTATGGCTGCTAGGCTTTCTCGGTGGAATCTACCTCCATCTCGAAGGTGGTTGAAGGCATTGGCGATGTGTGGGGCAAGGATGTCCCTGAATTTTTTTATAGTAGCCCGCCGAGAATCCATCTGGGCCCGGCATCTTCCCGTTCTTCGTCGTTTTAATCACTGCCAGTATCTCTTCAGTGGATATCGGGGCGCCTAGGGCATTGGCTTCCTGCGAGGAAAGGGCTCCCGGGTTGAAGTCTCTGAGGTAGCATGCGATGTCCCCTGCGCTTCTGGTCTCATCTGTATCCGGTGTTTCGGGTGTTATGTTGTACAGGTCTTCATAATACACGCGGAATTTGTTCGCTATCTCCTCTGGAATTGTGTAAGTGAGCCCTGGGATGTTCGTAGTGTGCTTACTTGTGCACTAGCTTGTTGATTTCGTATCATGCAGGCTAGGAGTCTCCCTCCCTTGTTGGCATGTATATAGAAGAAGGCCTTTGATCTCTGGGTTGCCCTGTGGTGTTTGCGGGCAATCAAATCTGTCAGTTGACGTCTGAAAGTCAGGAGAGTGCGGTAGTGCGCCTCCTGTTGAGTCCTCTTGTGCAGTGTTTCCAGCGTTGCTATCTGTTCCACGAGTGCCGTCATTTGCCGTTGTGCTTCTCTCTTTTTCTGTGCTGATATCCGAATGAGAAGCCCCCTGAGGACGCTTTTATGCGCCTCCCACAGGGTCAGTGCGGAGGTATCTCTGGTGGGTACTTTTTGTACGGTGGTGGAGGTGAGGCAGGAAGAAAGAAGTACAGGTACGAGGGCAAGGGGTGGAGGAGTGGAGTTGGAACACAGGTCCTGTCTGGGGGTGGTATGTCAAGAGGTTAACGTGCCGAGTACCTGTCTAGTCACAGATGTCAGTAGGTAGTCGTGTAGTGTCAGCCCTCGGTTTGGGTCCAATCCCCACATATGTGTGAGCTAGTCATGTTTGCTCACCCCATTCCCCCCTCCCCCCTACCACCAAGGTCCCGCAGCATTGTGTAGCATACGTTTCATCCTATTTGATCTGAGCCATTATTCATCATTGTATCCTATATCATTGTTACTCTGCATCTCGTGGAGGTCATGCACAGAACATTGCCTTCTGTTGTTATGATATACAGAGATCGGTTATTGGCATACATAGCCATAACATGCGTATCACCTTTTGTGGTATGATTCGAGCGCTGTGGCATGGCCTAATATAGGTGTCCATTTTAACATATGAACCTGTATATTTGTTATATATATAGAAAGTTTAAATACCGTTGCCTAAATTTCAGCATCATCGTAATTCAACAACATACATTTTGTCTTTGGCTTAATTCAGCTTTACTCTTCACTCTGGCGAGTTTCCACTCTGCACCTGAGCTGCGAGTACAGATGCTAAAAACTAAGCATTTGCCCTGTAGAAGAGGGCCAGAGAAAGAAGGAGAAAAGGAGAGAGAGAAAGAGAACAAGAAGGAGGCCCAGGGAGGGAGGGGGAATGGAGGATGGGTGCGCCGAGGGAGTGGAGGGGGGAGAGACCCTCGCTGGGTGGTCAGGTTCTAGGTGATTGCATGTAATTTAATATAAATAATTATCATTGTACTGCTATGTAGCCTGTTGGTCTAGATAGTGGATTAGGTAAGTGCATTGCAGTCCAAACTATGGATTGTTATGGACATTTAATCATGCCTAAACGATGCAGTCCATACCCTGGGTTTACCCTCCTCTCGCACTCATCCTCTCATAACAGCCACACAAATAATTTTAGACTTGTTAGGAGGCACAGGCTCTTACCTTCTCAATTTTTTTTTCCCTTTCCTACAATCCATCTTTCCCCAAAGGTCTACCTTAGTCTTTTTTCCAATAATTAGCACACTTCATAGGTCACTTAGGGCTCACTATCATCTCCTTCAGGGTGCCCTGCCCTCACAGTTCATCTCCTGTGTGGATCACCCTTTGCTATGTTGGCACCTAATGTTTAAAACCTTTTTTCTATTTGAAAACCCTCTTACCTTTTCACAATCCGCTCCATTCTTATCTCTCTCCCAAGAATACATCCTCTCATGCTACAATGAATAGTGGAAGAGATCAGGCTGTATCATTAACACCCCCAGACGTCTTCATCAAAATAAACATGCTCCATGAGTAAGCAGCTGCAGAAAGTGTCCAATAAACTACTTTTCATTTGTGCTAAAACCTTAATGATTCTCCACAAGATCTACCATTCAATATTGGACTGGTGTTTGAGGTTCCAGATAACTTTTCCTCACTTATGGTGCTCTTGCCTAAAGATGTAGTTGTGTTCGAGGGGTGAGCAGGTACTTGAAGTCATACTCTCAGACACCGGTCCTCACACAAGCACCCCTCTTTCTCTACATGTTCTTTCAAAAATTCTCTCCTGCTGCATCTGATAGGTGCTGCTTTGGGTTTTAGACTAATGCATTGGAGGAACACCTCTCTTTTGAAAATCTTTATTTTGTTGTGCAAGATATAACACGAGGCTTGCAATGCCACGACAGTTAGGGCAAGCTCAGCAAGACATATTGTTAGTTGGTTACATGGCATTTGAGTATTTTGGCACATTGTTATATTAACATAAGAAAACAAGTTAGAGATTCATGTCTAAGCTCTGGTTACATGCTATAAATCAAATATGTAAGTCATGGATGGTACTCTCTATGAGTGAAATTGCTAAAACAAAAACATGGCTACACGTAAGATATGTAGTGAGAGTAAGATAAACACTGGGACTAGATTAACTATTGTGCTGCAGTGAGTTACAAGTAGCCACAGGCAAAGCACTGCATCATAGTGTACTATAATTATCACTGAGGTAAGGCTTATTAGTAGATAATAGAGTGAAATAAAAGATTAAAAGACAACAGGTCTAACGAAAACAAAAAGGTTGTGCGTCGAGATATTTGCTGATGTCCCCATGACCCAGCTGAACTGTAGGATATCCCTAAGCATAGGTTGGGTTGGCAGCTGACTCCTGTATATGGCAGTCCCATCAGGTATTTGGTGATTCTGCTCCTTGTTAGAGAGGGCACACCGTATCCAATGTCACCCATCCATACTCCAGGTCCGTGGAGGCCGATTATTTCCTATTGCCAGCAGAATACAGATCCGCAAGGCCTCTGCCCCACGTGTCTTCGGCCCAAGGCCTTAGGGGGAGCCCGTTCCATAAGTCCATTGACCGCATCATCAGGATTGTGAGCCCATGGATCTTCCAGAATTGAGAAGGCCTTCTCAGTGTATGGACATCGGTGAGGGGTTACCTCTGATTGGGCCCCCGGCTCGGAAGAAGAGCAGCCGTTGAGGTCAGCAGCACCGCTTCTCCATTCGACTGGAGGTGTAATCAGGCATTTGCTATGCTCCTGGTAGGCCCCCTGTCCTGGGTGGAGGAGAGACATCCAGGATGTCAGTGTGGGGTGGAGGCTTCTGTGATTGGTTGCGTAGTCGGCGCCAGAATCTCCGACCGATCACATCAAATCTGTCGTTAAATGAGTTAAGCCACTCCTGGGTACTGAGGTCTGGTCGGGGTTGCAATATCTCCAGCTTAGTGGTCTGCCCGCAGCTCATAGCCTGAAGGTACTTGTGCCCCAGTGGGGCACGGGATATTCCCCACTGGTCTATGTGGGGAGTACTAGCAGGTAGGTTCCCGAAAGTCCAAGAGGTATCTCTTAAGGCACCAGAGTGCGGTTAGTAACAGGTACAGTCGTTTGTAGCAAGCTGGCTGTCCAAAAATCAGGCAAAATAGATGAGTCTAGTTAAGAACTCATTTGATGCCCAGGGCCTGCCCCCCACTGAACACCTCTCTTCATACAGAGCAGGATTAGTTTTACTAAGTACAAGAGCTCAGACCCATGGACTTCCTGGTGGCTCCTTTTACAGGGTAACAGTGCTAAGATTGCTGCACTCTGGTTTTACTGGGATTAATTCCTTGAGTTTGGTTTATTTTAATAACTGAGTGTTTGCTTGCCCTTTGTAGTATCTGTTCTGTTGGTTGTCTGTGATCTGTCTTATTGCCCTTTTAATCTGTCTCTCTCTTGAGATACCGCACTGCTCTTGAGCTTCTTAAACTCGGACATCCCGTTTTCCTTGTTATTACTGCTCCCTCAATTCCCTCTTAGTCACTTACATTCTCCTATCTTTTACCCTATATTCTTCCATGTCTCATTCTCCCCTCTTTACTTCCATTTAAAAACATAGCTGATGTTCAGGGTTATTGACTAAAGTGTGAATAATTGGGACTTCAAAGTGTATATTAAAGGATCACTATAGTGTCAGGAAAACAAACTCGTTTTCCTGACACTATAGAATCCTTAGGACCCCCTCACCCTCAGGGTCCCCCTCACCCTCAGGGTCACCCTTCAGCCACTTACCTTTATCCAGCGCCGGGTCCTCCCCCACCGACGTCAGCTCCCGAGTGGAATGCGCATGCGTGGCAAGAGCCACGTGCGCATTCAAACAGTCCATAGGAAAGCATTTCTCAATGCTTTCCTATGGACGTTCTGTGAATTTTGCATCCAGCGTCGCAGAAGCGTCTCTAGCGGCAGTCAGGAAGACAGCCACTAGAGGTTGGATTAACCCTGCAATGTAAACATAGCAGTTTCTCCGAAACTGCTATGTTTACATCTGAAGGGTTAAACCCTGTGGGACATGGCACACAGACCACTTCATTGTGCTGAAGTGGTCTGGGTGACTATAGAGTCCCTTTAAATTCTTTGACCAAAGAGCTAAAGTGAAAACATACCTGCCTTACTCCAATTTTGCTATTTTCACCTAACATTTTAAACTGAATTTGAATTACCCCCAAAATAATGTTTTAGTAATTAACCCTGATAGTATGTAGGCTTTTATGGTATAGGTGTTCAGTGTACCATAAACAGGTGTGCTCTCTATTCCATACATTTATTTTTCTCTCTAAATTTAACATTCTTCCTTTGACCTGGAGAATTAGCTGGGACTACAAGATGTGCAGTATTTGCTCTTTCAAAGTTTTGTTGAGATGATATATGTATATATAAATACAAGAACTTGAAAAATATTAGTTTTAGCACTTCTAGGAAGGCTATAAATCTGCAATATGTGATCTCTGCTTAGTATTAAAATTACATGTTTACATTCAGTGTGGGTGGCTTAGGTGTCTGTTTTCATGCTACTTACTTTCCCAGAACCATCTATAATGTTAATCATTAGCATTTCTAAAACAAAATTAATGTTATTAACCTGTTACAACTGTTGGCTGGGTTTCTGTTGATCATGAGGCTAATGCATTTTCTTATAAAATTATTGTGTACTAGATATCTAGTTTCTGTGTGCCTGCCTGCTGACCGGAAGTCATTTAAAACCCATCTCATTCACTCCAAATACAAAGCTTGTTGTTGTTGTTATAGTGCAATGAAGTTATCAGTGCAATCTCAAAATGTAATTCCCTGCCATTATTTTTAAAAATCTTTATCTCTCAAAAATAGCTTCTACCCTCTTGCATCATTTAAAGAAGTGTAGCTCCCCCAGCATCTGTCCAAGAGCGTACAACCTGCTCATGGTGATTAGGTTAATGGTTATCAGAGTGTGTGATGGAAAAATGCTCCAGCAATGTTCTCTTGGTGCCTTAAACCCACTCAGTGTTTATGCATTTATTCGCTACCTTCTAATTGACGTTGTGTAAAAAAACCTAAATGGATTAAATGAAGACTTGGAAGGTGGCCTCCTAGAGAATATTTGGGAGGCTGCCTAAAAGGTGTCTATATGTGAGGTGGGGATGAAATTTTAAGTGACTTACTAATTTATGCAACTAAGAAGCAGCTTAAAAAATATCTTATTTACATACAATACATAAATACAGATTGACACCTTCTTTCTAGATTGTGTGGCCCTAGTATAGTTGTCCCGCTTGTGACATAGGTGTCATCTCCTGGTCCGACCTAGTCATGTGGTCCTAGTGCTATGAGACTCACTTCAATTCCGTGTGAAAGGGTCCTGGCGAATGAATGAGTCTCTGCTGCACGATAATGATTTTGTTGCAGACATTTATGCAACGCTCACAGACTACTTCACCCTTAACTCAGGACAGGGGACCTCTGACACAATAGTGTGGATGGCTGATAGGGGACTATTCATAAGATGCTCCTTCTACCACAAGAAAACACACCAGTCATCCCTCGGAGAATGCTATAAATAACTAGCTTACATATCAGCTTTAAAGAAAGCTAACCCATCGCCAGAACTGGCAGCTAAACTACCACTCTACATAAAAGACTTACGGAGCTGAACAACAAATTACTTCCTACACAAACTTAGAGCAAATGTCTACCACACAGCTGGAAAAGTCAACAAGACATTGGCCAATAGATTACAAGCCAAAATGGCTTCTTTCTGAATAGCACATATTGTTACTGAGGACAGGGAAAAAAAAAAGATTGACCCCCAGGCGATCGGCAAAGAATTATGCAAAGCTTTATAACCTGGTCACCATATCCACGTCCCAACTACCTGGGAAATTGATGATTTACTTGGGAAGGTTAAACTGCCACAACTTACCCTGGAGTGCACCCGCTGCTTGCTCCAACCACTATCGCTAAATTAAGTCTTAGACACTATCTGTAAACTCCCCTCAGGTAAATCATCAGGAGATGATGGGTTCTTGAATATTTCAAGAAGTTTTCGGGAATACTGCCTCCCTGCTTAGTATCTCTATTCCATTCAGCTTCACACTCTGGCTCTCTGCCTAGGGAAATACTTCTAGCCACTGTAGTTACAATCCTCAAACCATACAAACTCCGTACCATTTGTAAAAATTTCCACCCTATCTCCCTCCTTAACAGAGATGCCAAAATCTATGCTAAGATTCTAGCCAACAGATTCAACATGCTCCTCCAGTACATCATAAATGACAACCAAACTGAATTTAAGTGCAGACAAGGGCAGGATAATACACATAAGCGTTCGCTGGTGCTGGGACACCTGAGGGGCTCCGGCTAGAGCGGACTCCATTGCTAGCACTAACCGAATTTGTTGGGGCTTCTTGGAAAGGGTGTTGGCCTCCTACGGCTTCCCACTAGAAGTTTTGTGACAAATATCTGCCCTCTATGCAGAAGCAGCAGCAAAGTTATTACACGCTGGCTTCCTTTCACACGAGGCTTCCTCTATGTACTTGCACTTGAACTGCTTTTGCAGGCAATTAAGGACAACCCACTGATTAAAGGCATTTAGATATACCATAGAGAAATTAAACTTGGTACATTTGCGGATGATATTCTCCTATACATTTCGGAACTCCCCACCACCTTTACTAGATTTGATACACAATTACGGTCTAGTCTGTTACTACTCCCTTTATGCAAACAAAACCCAAGCAATGTGCGTGGGGGTTCCTTCGACCATCCTAGAATCCCTCAAACTAACCTATCTCTTTGAATGGAGATCGGATATCTAGGAGTGACATTTACTAAGAACCTGAACGATTTGCTTTCGACCAATTATATCAAAATCTGGAATGCATGCTGACAATTATTACAGAGATGGTCACCCCCATTCCGCTCTTGGATAGATAGAATTATATCCTTTAAAATGTCCATTCTCCCAAGATCACACTACCTATTTAGCACGCTCCCAATTGATCCAAAGAGACTTAACCAAATTTGTGTGGACAGGAGGGAAACCCAGAGTGCCTAGGTCCTTGATACAAGCCCCACCTAAGAAAGGGGTCTAGTTGTTCTAAATGTCCAAACTTACTATTCTGCCATGATCTTGGTGTTGGCCCTACCACATTTTGTAGTCTCCTGGCAGAGTAAGTGGAACAGGGGCTGAGGAAGGGGGCAGGAGCATAGGAGGGGGACAGGGGCTGAGGAAGAGGGACAGGAGCTGAGGATGGGGGACATGGAGTTGGAAGGGGCAGAGGTGCTTAGGGATAGGGACTTAGTAGGGGGAGAGGGGCTTAGGAAGAGGGACAGGGGCTGAGGAAGGGGGACAGGGGCTGAGGAAGGGGGACAGGGGCTGAAAAAGAGGGAGGGGCTGAGGAGAGGGACAGGGGCTGAGGAGGGGGATAAAAAAATCCAAAAACTAAAGTGTATCCCCCCCCCTCCCTGATTCTTACTTTGGGACAGGATCTGAGTCTGCAGTCAGTGAAGTTGGCCGACACTACAAACTGCTCTACGGGTAATACACGGTGCCGACCGGGCTACAACATTTTTTACCTCTCACATCCCCAATTTGTTGGAGATGCAGGCTCGAAAAGGGGGACTTCCTCCATATATGATGGAACTGAGCAACCCTTCTACCATACTTGAAATCCATACAAGATATCTTATCAAAACTCCCGTGATGTAATATACCTCTCCAATCACCCACTATTACCCAATTTACCATATAAACTCCCCCATACAATACAAAAATTTATACTACACGTATTATTAACGTCTCAACAAATTATAGCATGAGCACAGAAATCGCCCTCCCCCCAAAAAATTCTTATGTGATAGCTGAGCTAGACAAATATAGACTCTATGAATCCATATTCAGTTCTACTGCTCTTCCCCCCTCTAAAGTGACTTTGATATTGTGGGACACATGGAGATCGACAGAGTTCTAACGTCTGTAATATATGGTACTATTAATACTGTGTCTTCTCCCTCCCCTTCTTGAAAAGTTCAATATTTTGGTACCCTCCACACTACACATAACGAAGGTCAGACCGAACCTCATAGACCTAAGTGATAATTCAGCCATTGCTTAGAATATGAGTTTGAAGCAGTTGCCTACATTAGGTACCATTCAACTTAGCTGCTGCTCTGGATGAATCCTGGAGCAGAGAAAAATTTGAGACACCTTATGGAGAAGAGGTGGAGGGGTTGCTGCAAAATGGATACTACTGAGCTAGAAACTCCTGTCTAGGTTTAGTCCGATATGAATCGACACATACAGTTCCACTGTAGTATGTACAATGTTTCCTTTCTTTACACTT